CCCTGAGCAGAAGGAGCAGCATTCGGCCCAAGAGGAGAGCAAGCAGCCGCACTTGCAACTCCAAAAGCACGGGGAGCAAGTCAAACAACAAGAGAGGCAGGTGACAGCGACGGAGCAAGTTGGACAGGAACAGGAGCAAATAAGACAGAGGCAGGGACACCAAGAGAAGCCCAAACTACAGGAGGAGGGCGAGACCCGGCAGTTGCAACCTGCTGATGAGGTCTCGGCGCAATTGGAGGAGGATGAGTGGATTTTCCAGGTCTCTCCAGCGGGAGAGGCTGAGCCCAGCGGTTCTCAAGAGGCGTTGCAGCCGTATGCTCGTGGAACAGCTGCAGGTCCCTCGACGTCCGAGAACGTCACCAGGGAGGAGGTTCCGGGGCTTGCTCAAGCTCTTGCGGCATTTTCTGGTAGTGCCTCAGGGGTTTCAAGGGATAAGGGTGCTGCCGTTCCCGGTATGGGTGCAGCAGCAGCTGCACCAGCAGGCATGCCTGCCGGTGGCCGGCCTAGTGCGGACCCGTTCTCTGCTGCATCAGCAACTGCCGGAGGGGGCAATAAGTTGAGTGCGCCGTTGCTGGCTAGTCTTCTGACGTCAAGAATAGGTGCGGGTGAAGCACTAGCAGAAGCGGCACCAGCGGCAGATTCTCGCCTAATGGCACCTGTAGCGACTCCGGCACAACAGGAGCTTCCAGGGCCTGTGGAGTTAAGTCCTGCTGATTTAGTTAACCACCCTTTTGTGCGGCTGCCGGTGCCGAAGTTATCGAAGGTGCATCAGGTGATTGTGGTGGACTTTGAACGCGCCCTGACAACTGCTATTGGCACGCGCAGCGCCATCCCGTCGCTACAAAAGGCTCGTCAGCTTCTGGCACTTGAGGTTGTTGACGTTTCGGACATGATGGAAATGGCCGTAGTTGCAGCAGAACTGATAGAGCACGCATACCACTACGAATGTCAAGACCTGTCTCGTCATCATACATTCCGTGCAGTCAAGCGACTAGGGGTCCGTTTCCTCATATTGGATGCTGTGGTTTCTATCTTGACTGTTCTGCGGCAAACACCGGATCCTAAACTTTGGGAGAGATTTACAGATGCCATTAGTGACGCTGCGCCTCCACCTACGGAAAGGGCAAACTTCGCAGCACGAACGCTCTTCTTTACACACCTGACGCAGAAGCTCAGCAGTGCAATACAGTTACTCAAGAGGGCTCAGAGACCGGAACCCGCAGAACTCCTGAAGATCAAGCGGATGCTCTTCTGCTCCGAATACTCTCCTTCGGGTCTCAAGCAAAGGGAGTTTGATTCCTGGAGGGCGGATGACAGTAACAGGTTTTTTGCACTTGAGCTTCTTTCGCCACAAGAGATCGAAATGTATACCCATTAGTGGAAGAGGAGGAAATATGGGGAACAGCACAAACTTGCATTTTTATCGAGTAGAGCATTTGTCATGCCTCCGCTTGCCACTGACGGCCTTCGGATGCTATTTTGGAAACTGCATTGGGCCCTTCTGACGACGAATTGATATAATGGCTGCCGTTCGGGCAAAATAAGCTTCAAGAGCTTCAGAACCCAGGAATGACTTTTTTGTAGTCGAAGAGCTTGCCCTCAAGTATCAACAGACATCGAAACGGTTCAGTCCACTAAAACGAAGTAAACTGTCGCCACTGCACTAAGCTGCATGCTGTAAGCTGCGTGGTATTTGACCGGCTCTTAGGGAAGTGCCGACGCTTTTAGGGGTTCGAAGGAGGTTATTAGAGGCCTTGCCGCAGGAGCTTCGGCGCCACAGAAGGGGAGTTTGTGCATACAGTCCAGCGTCTTCACGCCTACGTGAGCACAGGTATTGTGGTTTTTGCGAGGTGCTCGGGCGACGCCAATGGAGCGAGCTCCAGTGACAAATGAATCGCATTCCAGTAGAAGCAAAAGGGACAGCTCCAGTGAAACGTGCCTTCATATGCTCACCTTCCCGACATGGTTCACCAGACGGTGGTGCACGCCTTTCTACCTGTATACAGGCTGGCCACTGCGGTCCCTTGAATGGTTTAGCAAGTATTTACGGTGCATCACAAAGGGGCTTGGGTACGATTACATGTGGGGCTTCCTTGCAGCAGACGCTGCTGCAAGGTTTGGCGCAATTTGCTACTTGCGACCTCTTTGCGGCAGTTCGGCGCCATTTCGTATCATTGTAGACAGGATGCCTGGAGATTGAGGGGTACGTCGAAGGATTCTGGAAAGACCGCTAGCTTTTGAACTAACAGCGATCCTCAACGAAGGTCGAGGAATCGTATTACGGAATGGTTTCCTATGAGTTACAGAAGTCGTCGCTGCACCTCCTGTTTCAACGCACTCCCACATGTAAGCTGGCCTGAATGTCACGGACAGGTGTCAACTACTCTTTTGTCCTTCAGCAGACCACCTCCACGAAGATAAAGATGCAAACAGGGACATGAGAAGGCGCAAGGTTCAGACCCTGCCATGTGGAGCCAGCTTTATGGGCTAAAATCGATGAGGAACGTTGCACGAGACCTTGTCGCGTGAAACATTGGCCGACAGTTCAAGTTTCCAGTAGAATAAGATTAAAACATAGTATATGCGTCTATCCGGTTGATCTACGAATGCGGGTGTTACCCGGGTATGTACACCAGGAGCCACTCAACAGTCTTGGGGAATCCTAGAGGTGAGAGGGGGGAGTGCAGCTTGTGAGGAAGCCACAACAAAATGAAATCAAGAAGTACTCAAATGTGGGACTTATCTTGTTCAATGTAAACAATTTGAAGAGGAAAACGTCGAGAAGCTGAGTCTCCCTTTCATTCGTGATCCACCACGGGGCTGCTGCATTTTGTGCAAAGGTTCCTTGTAGGGCGCCACCCTTCACTACCTCACAAACTATCCTCTTTTCAATGTATTCAGTATTCTTCAGTGTAGGAATCATGGTCGCCAATTTCGGCACAAGTGCTCTGCCAAGAGCAATTAAATGAACTCCCCCAAGGGCTTAAGCAAACTGCGGGAGGCACGAAATGGCCCGCTGCCCTTTCTGCCACGCACAAACAACTCTTTTTGGCGCTTACAGGCGGTGTACCTCCACTACCTACATGGTTTCATTTAATACTATTATTTATGTTGTTTTAAAAAGGCATATGTCTATAGGCGAATTACCCTTTGGACTGCCGCCCCGGTGAGCTGGCCATGAATGACGACATTAATTCAAAGCAGTTTCACCGAACACGCTCGATTTAATAGGAGCTAGACTACTGATACAAGCACAGTAGACAAATAAAGATCACAACATATATGACTCTTTTGCAAGCGAGCTCTAAATGAAGAGAAGCATCTGTTCTTTATGCATAAGAGATCTGGGATCATCGTAGAGTGGTGACAGATGGAGGAGCGTGCAGCGCCCCCAATTATTCACTTTCCCCTGAATGTCTCTACTATTTGCTACATGAAATGGAAATCAATACAGATACGAGATTATAAATAAACGCACGCTCTGTAATGGAGTCTAGTACAGCGCTCACCTACACGCGTCGTTGGGCACCTTCATGGATGACCTCACACATACGCTAATCGTCGTCGATTTCCGTACATACCAGGGATCCTAGATGTTTTTCAATGTAATATTAGCACATTTTACATTTACCGGGCAGAAAAAGACGTTTTGAGTCAGTTCATTATAAGGGGATCGTTGATAAGCAAGTACCGCTCTCCGATTGTAGCTCGAGTTTTCGTGTCTCACAGCATGCAGGGGACGGCGACCGGTGGAGGGCTAACCGGCAAGCGTTGGAAGTTCATTGTAATAGGAGCCCTAGTTAGGTTCGTTGTGCTTTTCATTAATCCAATATTGTAGGAGATGTTGTGACTCCACCCGGCCCGCTTTTGTGCATGTGGGACCTCTCGCCGATGCCACGAAGTCCGTTGCTTCCCTGCAAGTCTGCGAAACCACTTTTTTCATTGCTTTGCTCTGACCTACAAAAATTCCGATTCATGGAGTCATACATTAAGCTTTGAACACCCAGAACGCATCATTTGAATTCCGTCGTGGCGGTTATCTAAAGCTTGCGATCTATTCCGAGCACGGGGGGAGGAGCGAGGCTGTGCAGCTCGTGGCTTGCACTATAACATTTCAGAGTTGAGGCCAAATGCCAGGGCAGCATAGTATTTTTCAGGAAAATGAATTTTCAGTCGCTCCTTCAGCCTCTATGTCCTCAGCTTTGCCAAGTGTGGAGCCAATTTTTCCTCGATCAAGGGACGTGAGAGCCAAAACCTGTTATTCCGCTTCATGCATGCGTGTTCTTGTTGCGGCCTTAGCCTCGGTGGTAGCAATTACAGTGCTTGTTTTTCTTTGCTCTCGAGCACAGGAGATACGTGCAGTGCAGGGCCTTCGAAGCCGCAGGCTGGCCAATCCGGAGGGTAGAGACGCGGGAGTTGACATGTGTAGCGATCCTAGTGGCGGTGAAGAGCCGAACCAGGACAAGAGCCTGAAACGTCCCCACGCTGTTGCTCCGGTTGAGTCCAGGCTTCCCATTAAAAAGAGACTGTTGGCACGATTGGCTGACGCTGGCACGGGTGGCGATGGACCTACCTGCCATCAGCAAGAACAGCAAGAGCAGGAGCTTCGTCATGAGCCCGCTGGAGCTCCGTTCGATTCTGTTCCTACTGGAAGGGCTTTAACGCCGGGTGAGCTCGGCCTGCAACCATCGCCACACCTCAGTGGGCAGACGCCGGAGCAACAGCGGACGCCGACAGAACTCGATGCAGCCACAGGACTGCTGACCCTTACCCCACACCAGCATGATGCTAAACAGTCTGTAGCAGGTACAGGGGAAGCAGCTTCTCCAGATCTGATGAGGCTCCAGCAGGAGGTCTACCAGCACCAAGGAGACCCGCCGCGGAAACAGAAGCAGCAGCCCCAACTAGAGCAACACCAGCAGGTTCAAGACGATCTGCACCGTCAGAGGCTGCTCCAGTACTGGCAGCATTTGCAATATCAGCAGCTGCTCTCAACGGATAAGGTTCAGCAACAGCACTTCCTGTTTCAACAGCAGGAGCAGGGGAAGCAGGATTTGCAAAAGCAACGGCAACATACGCAGAATTTGATGCAACAGCAGCAACGTCCGCAGTACTGGCCTCAACAACAACAGCAGCAGTACTTTTCTCAGCAGCAGGGGAATCCCCAGCCTCCACAAAGTCAGCAACATTACGGCGTTCAACAAAGGGAACAATACACGCATTTGCTTCACCAGCAAGAGCCGAACTATTTCCCTGAGCAGAAGGAGCAGCATTCGGCCCAAGAGGAGAGCAAGCAGCCGCACTTGCAACTCCAAAAGCACGGGGAGCAAGTCAAACAACAAGAGAGGCAGGTGACAGCGACGGAGCAA